TCTATGATACATGCAAAAAAATCACATTAATAGAATATTTAGAAATGCGTTGACTATTATTGTAAAATAACAAGATATTTATTTAAAAGAAAGGAAAATGTTTTCCAAAGATATTTACTTACGTCGTAGTGAAGCTGAAGAAACCAATGCTAAAACAGAAAAGAAAAGTGAAGGAAAAAATAAAAAGAAAGATCTTAGATTTATATATTCTAAGAGCTTTATTCATAATTTGGTAAAGGATTAGAACAATTTTTCCCTAAAACAGAAAAGAAGACAAAGAACATGGATAAACCTACTAAAATGATTTTACCATCCAATATTAGTTATGCTCAAAAACTTTACTTAAGCTTAATTGAAATTAGAAATGTCAGAATTTTCATNTCAGGCTCCTCTCCTGTGGAACCAACTACCAGTTTTAGTCCGTGAGGCAGACACCCTGTCTACTTTGAAGGGTAGCCTTAAAACTTTCCTTTTTGATAAAGCTTATAGTTTGAGTGGCTCAGGATATCCTGTGCTTTCTCTATAGTTATGCTTGTGAATTAAAAATGAGCACTGAGAGGCAATACGCAAAGAAGAAAAGGTTTTATTTAACTCTGCAAAGGAGAATGATACAAACAGCTGAACTGTTAGTGTGGCTCTAGTGGGGTAGGTTCCCACCCCCTGCATATAGGGAGACTCCACACACACAAACAATGAGTCTTCCTGAGAAAAACACTTCAGTTCATCAGGGACATCAATTCAGGCAGATAAACATTTCAGACAACTGTTTTCCGTTCACACCAGAAACAGGACGTGAGAACGATAAGGACGTGTTTATCTATGTATCCCCCTTATCTAAACTAGGGAGGAAAGTTCTTCTTTTATAATCTCTTAGTGTTCTCTAACTGTTTGTGCTCTCTTTCATCCTCTGTCATGGGAACTGGCTCAGAGCTCATCTGCCTGGTTGTGTATTTCCACAACCAGGAAGAGAAGCTGCTTGACAGTTACCTAATGAATCTCTGCTTCTTTCTGTATGTCTGCTTCTGTCTTCTTAAAACCTAATCGGCCTAAGTAGATGGCTGCTTACACTGAACCTGGTCCTGCTGGAGGTTTCTTCCTGTTAAAAGGGAGTTTTCCTCTCCACTGTCACTACAAGCATGCCTGGTGTGAGGGATTGCTTTTGAGTCAATGAGTCAATGTNAGCTAAAGATTAGGGTGATGGGATCGAGGCCTTCCTCCCTCCAAAATCTGTAGCTCATCACCAAAGGTAATTCCTAGAAATATCTATGATACATGCAGAAAGCTCACAATATCACAACATCTAAAAATGTGTTGACAAAATTTTGGAAACCAACGGTACAACATAGAAAAGAGAAAAGAGAGAAAAAAAGAAACGAAAGATCTTAGTGTGAAAGCTCACATTAATAGAACATTTAAAATGTGTTGACTATTTTTTTTTCTATTTAAATGCAAGAAAAAGTTTTCAAAAGATATTTATTTACCACCAATATATTGTTGTGGAGCCGAAGAATCCAACGGTAAAACATTGAAAAGAGGAAAAGAAAAATGAAAAGAAAGATTAGGATCCACTATACATATTCTAAGAGCTTTATTAATGCTTTGGTAATGGATAAGAACAATTTCTCCCTAAGACAGAAAATAGGAGAAAAAAAACAGCAGTAAAAAAAACTGTTGAAATAGTTTTACCATCCAATATTAGCAACACTGATAAACTTTCCTCAAGTTTAATTCACATTAAAATTGTCAGAATTTTCATGTACGTATAGCATTTAAAAATTTGTAAAACAATTTTGAAATTGTTATCTATTAAACTGAGCCAAATAGAGAATTATTTGTTTTCTCATAATCTGCTTGAAAAAAACTATTTCCAATGTCAGAAACAATGAGAATGTGAATGAAAACAGTTCCAGAACCAGAAAATGTGGCTAGGTTTCAGGAATATAACACAAAGTACACTATATTACACTGAGAGTATAAATTTGTTGACAGGCAGTCAAGGCAGCAGAATAAAGCGTTAGCCTCGCTGCATGCAGTTATTCAAGCCTTGTAGCTAAACCAGCTCCTGGGAAAAAAACGAGTGGACCATCTCCATGCGTCTTTGGACCACTGATTAATTTTGATGTTTGACTGATCAGGTCCAAATGATTTCACCTCAAGCTTCTCTTTGTAAATTTCCTTTAAGGGAATTGACTTTCCCGATTCGACCTTTCAATCACCTGCACTACAACTGTGACGACGGTTTCTGTCACCCCAGGGCGTAGCTTTGGTGCGCTCAGAGCTCTCCT